ATGTATATATTTAGGTGGGTATATATTTATATACGTATTTAAGTAGATTTATGTATATCCCTTTCAGACCTGAACGATACGGGCGTGAGTTGTAACTTTAAAACATTCTAAAACCGCGCGCAATTCATTTTTACGCACGAAGCTGAAATAACATGATAGTTAAATTCTAAACCAGCCAATAAGAAATCATTTTAGCGGTTAGGTGGTGCAGTAGTCTTGTGCGTGCCGGCAAGATGGCTTGGCTCCAGAACAGGAAAATATATTTAATCTGAAAGAAAAAAAATCTTGGGTCTGAAAGGGATATACAGAAAGGAAGGGGTGACCTATTCTACACCAGAACCTACACGGCATAGTACTGATATAATACATTATATTATTATTAGTTGTTTCCGGTGGCTTTGCCCGTATGTCTCAGTATATAAAGCCATCTTATGTGTAAGTTAGAATAGAACCTATCTGTGTAACAAAATTTATTTAAATCCGTTTAGGCGTTCATGCGTAAGTAGGTAGCAAACATCCAAGTATTTTTACAAAATGTAACGTTTATAATATTAAGAGTATTAGGACAAGGAAAGGAATTAAGTAAGTTATACGTAATCGAAAGAAAAACAACGTTCTATATTTAGTTAACATTTCCGTCCTACGCATTTGTTTAAATATTCAGTGACGGCAAGTTAACTTGTATCACGTTTAAGATGTTTATCCAACAAAACAACAAAGTAAACACGTAAAACCGTAGGTAGACAAAAGGAGATCAAAATTTAACTTAACAAAATTGTCACGAGTTAAAATAATAATAGCCCTAAAAAGATCATGACTCTGAGATAGACAGCGTATTTATGAACTTGTTAATTAGATTTTAACTGAAATTAAATAAAATCATTCGCTAGCTTTAAAACCTCTTTTAAGTACTATCTCTTCTTTTAAGTACTCTTTCCCTGTGTTCTCTTTCCACCTTCTTTTTTCTTTTCTTGTGTAACAATAAGTATGTAGATGTGTAGTTATATATTTATCCTTACTTAATGTTGTAAATGTGAAAGTGAATTTGTTTGTTTGTTACCTTATAGTGCTTTCACCGCTTAACCAATCATTATGAAATTTGGTATACAATACAGTAACTTCGTAAATTTGATGAGATTAAAATATTTTTATTTTTATTCGGACAAAATCTACATTTAATATTTATCGTTAGGCCAAAAATCTTTATAAATATTTCTGCAATATAAATATAGGTTTCCCATAACATTATTCCACGGGACAAGAAACATGTAGGGAAAATAGGAACACGATACGAAGTGCCACTTAAGTAATATGTCTGCGCTCAGTTGGTTAAGTGAATGTAAATAGTCTTTTATGGGATCACATGTGACGTAGTTGTGTATCTAAACTCTTGGTTAGTTGCGCTTTATTGTATTACTAGTTCTAACTTTCTACGTTCCTTATGTGAAGTTTTTTTCTATAAGAGCAAGCCATGTAACCACAACATTCACCATACCCTGTCAGGTTGACTGTCATGCGTTACAGGGAGAGGGAATTGTTAGAAATGGGGATTAGTAGCTCCATTGTTAGCAATACGCCCTGTCGGATCGACTTCTTCATGGTTCCCCTTGGAAACCATTATGTTCAGTTCCAATTGAATTCATCACAATGGGCTAACTGACCTGCTTTTTTATTCTCACCTATCATCATTCACTGGTGCCCCACCAGCGTATACCGTTAGTGCAGGTGGGCTTACCATTCCATTATCATTCATTTAAAACGCCTCCATGCGGTCTCCCCTGAAACTCTTGTGGTTAATTTCTATTGTATTCGCCATTGGGCTAAATGACCTGACCTGATCCTAATCGTTTCATTCCCCACAAAAGGTTTGCCATTGTATACCGTGAGCATAAGTGGATACACCATTCCATCTTCACCCAAAAAAGAAACTAAATTAGAGACCATATGGTCCTTAAATACGAGAGAGCATATAACCTGACGGCTCACGTGATGACGAAAATGGTAACTATCACCTGGATATGAACAGCATGGTGCTATGTATACCAGAAGGAGACTTTGTACAAAAGTCGTTTGCTTGGGTACCTCTGTTCCATATGTGTTTCAACCGTAAAGCAGTTGTGTTTGCATCGCTGTGTTTCGGTTTGAAGGGTGGGATATGGTGTGAATTTATAGGGTACAGAGGAATAACACCCGAATCCTCAGGAATGGCAACGCATGGGGGATATCATGGGTGAAACAGTATACTCTGTTATGTCCACGGTACCGCTCGTGTCTATAGGCGACGGTTACCACATTCCATCAGGTGGGCCGTCAGCTTGTTTGTCATTTTAAGTTGTATAAAAAAAAAGAAAATATTTGAATACTTATGACTCTCATGTGTTCTCATTCCTGAGGATTATGGCTATACCTCCGTACCCTGTACTTTCACTACTACATTTAACTCGAAAGTAAAATGCAAAAGCTTTATGTCAGGAACACGAGTGACAGAATTACCCAAATAGACGACTTATGTATTCCTCTGCTTTCCCAACGTTTTAAAATAAAATGTAAATAACAAATTTTAAATACATTACCAGAACATAACGCGACGCGATTACAGGCAAATAGTACCACGCTTTGGAATCAACATCCAGCAGTAATATTTTCGTACTGGTACGACATCGTGACTTTCAAAAAAAGAGTATATCCTTTTTAAAAGGCTGGCAGTACACCTGCAATTCCTCTGGTGTTGCGGGTGCTTATGGGAAGTGGCAGTCACTTTTAAATAAGCCACATGCTCATTTGGTTCCTGTGTTATAAAAATAACATACCTGATTTTTATTGGCGACGTTTCGAAGTGGGTTCTACCACATCGTAGATACAACAGGACCGTTAAAATATGTGTCAACAACGCGAAAGATTAAAATTAACTAAAACGTAGACAACTCTTAAAAAGTAAGAAAGTAATTATTTTATTATTCTATCTATCAACATTGCTATATTTAGAGTGAAATCTTTGGAACTCGTTAAAAATTTAAGAGAACTTCGTTCGCGAGTCCGCAAGTATTCCCTGGATAAAATGGCGCGGAAAAAGAAGTGAATTCACCATTACGTTTCGTCCATTGTTTGAAAATTTGAATATCTCTCCGTGTTTCTGTTCCGCTTAACTTTTTCAATGGACATGTATTTGCCTAATCGTCCGTTGCCAGACTAAAAAGGTTTTCTGGAATTCTAGATTTAAAATTATTTTAATAAAGTCACAAAAAAAAATACTAGACTTGGAAAAAAGGAATTTAAAAAAGTTGGCATTACGAATATCCATATTTCGGATTATATATTTCACGTAGTGGAATTCCTCGAGAAATATATAAAAAGCAAGAAATTAGCTGTAAAAGAAAAAAAAGTTATAATAGCAAATGCAAGGAGCAAGAATTAATCAATTTGTACTGTATAAATTATATTAATTATATTGAATTTAACAAATTTTGTGAGAGTACTAGGAAACCGTTAAATTATTGTTGCATTCGAAATTTGAATCATTCGTACCTCATTTCACTCGTAACTCGCGTTCCAATTCATACAAGATTCAATCATCAGCCTTTTCGTAACACAACGATTATGCCAAATTCAATTTTGGATTTAAATTATATAACGTACTGTGTACTGAGTGCAACCCTGGTTCTAATTAGGGCAAGTGCAAATCCACTTTGGTTGCGTCACATGCGCCATTTTAAATTTAATTTTTATTCCACCATTTTGTGTTGAATAATCATATTAGAGTTACGTGGAGTTTGACGAATTTCGCTTTTACTTTTTTAGACAACACAAGCACAAAATTTCAGTTCAATTTATTTAAAAACTTGTTGGTTTACTAAGTTATATCTTGTTAATATAATGCGAAAGTTTGTAACGATGGATGAATTGATGTTTGTAACTCTTTCACGCATAAACTACTGAAGGATTTTGTATGAAATTTAATACAATAGAAACAATGCAAACCCGGTATAAAATTTGAAACTTCAAGCATTTAAGGGTTAAAGATTGACCAGCATTATTACTACCAGAAATTTTACAACCATATTAGTCATCAATCACCGACTGCCATTTTGTTGACAGATTTTTCATTTTGTATCTCTAATGATTTGAGTCACATATACAGGAAAAGTCGAAGTTAACATCTTTTTAAAGGTGTCCTCACTTGACATTTAGACTAGCTGTCTATGTTAGTTTGAGAGACTCAAAATTTTTGTCGTTTTGAACAATGATTAATATTTTTGGTAGAACATACTAACCTGTTCAATTAAAATATATAAAGCCCCGGTAAGTCAATCATCACAAATTTAATACGATCAGCATTGGAACAAATGCTCTCTCTCTCTCTTGCAAAAAATTAACAAAATCGATACGAAATTTATCCCGTAATCGTGATAAACAAATCTATAAATAAACAGAAGAATTAAGAAACTCATTTGGGATTCGTTTAAAAAAGTACATCGGTACTATACTGAAAATGTACACAGAATTGTTCCGACTTATTTCGCTGAGGTTGTTACAAAATGCATACAAAGGGCTTTAGGTGGCCGGTGCCACTGTTCTGAACTATTTTCATCATCGAACTGGCGAGTGGAAACTCGACTGCGAAGTCAAGTTTTATGTTAATATTCAGAGTTTAAAGTTTGAAATGTTCTTAATTAAATGTAGACATTTCAGTATGTTAGGGCTGGAGAGTTCAAAGAATTTAATGTAGGGTAAAACAAGTAATTATATTCTCATATATATTTACCTATACAAAGTTGTTTTTAATTATAGCCGTCTACACACCTGTATTAATTTATATACTAGTGATTCGGCCCGGTTTCGCACGGGGAGAATGAATTTTCGATATTGTTGCACCCGTGTAGTATGCAATGTAGAACGACCACCCTCTAGATGGAGTAATGTTCTTAAATGCATAGCATCGGATGCAAGTGGCTCATATATATAAATAAAAAATAAATAATATGTTATTTTCTTTATTACAGAGGAACAAGCGGCGACTAAGATACAAGCAGCGTTCAGGGGCCACCAGACGAGGAAAACAATGAGTATGAAGGCAGCCACCAACAAGCCGGAGCCAGAGCCCACCAGGGCCGAGCTGGAGGCCGAATTCCGAGCCGATGACAAAGGTAGGCCGAATATTTATATAAATAAATAATAATAATAAAAGTAACATTATTCATTTGTATTAATTTAAAATTAATAAATTATTTTTTTACTATTATAAACAATACTGACCTAACCTACTTTTTTATATTAGCCAGTATGTGAATCATACTACCATGATTCAAATAGTGGCAGTGGTAGAGAATATTAGAGCTGGCCCGGACTTTTTTCGCATAGTAGCGTAGAAACAATCAACTCTCGCTTCAGAAAACATTCCAGATGCACTACAAAACCGGAACAGCCCCAACAGCAGGAGAGAAAAGAGATTGTTAACAATGGGGATTAGTAGCCCTATTTCTGGCAATATACCCTGTCAGGTCGACTTCCTCGTGGTTCCTCCTGGAAATCATCTTAATAGATTTATTATTAGATTCGTCACGGTGGGCTAACTGACCTGCTTCATACTCACCTATCATTCCTCACTGGTGCCTCGCCAGTGTATACCGATGGCGCAGGCGGTACCATTCTATTATCATGCGTTAAAAAAAAGCCCCAACAGCGCTCTAAATGCATTATTGTACTAGACTCGCTAGATTTTGCGGAAGTCCATATCACTGGTTATTTTGTTTAATTCCGCTACCATTAGTACGCGTGCGACTGCCAACACTTGAAGATTGACTGCTATTTTTATAACCAGAAGTTCTACAGCCTTCCATATTAACCATCCATCCAGAACTGCTATTTTGTTCAAGCACCTTCACTCTCTATCTCGTGTTCCACCTGTAAACGCGGTATCTTCAGGTAAATTAATAAATTGCTACCTGGAACCTAGTGTTAACCATTGCGTACCCAAACTACAAAACTTTTTTGGGACAAAAATGATTCTAATTTAATAAATATTCATATTAATGTTTACTTGTTACTGAAATAATCAGACAGTAAAATAGAACTCATTTACGTTTTAGCAAAATAAATTCATTTAATTAAACCTATATAAGATATAAAATGAAAAACCATGGTATGTGCGTGTAATCGGATCATATTAAAATAATTTCCATGCAGATGGTGTTTTGAGCAGGCATCAGTAATATGTTTTAATATGGTACTGCTCATGTCTATAGGCGACGGTTACCACTTTCCATCAGGTGGGCCGTCAGCTTGTTTGTCATTCTAAGTTTTATAAAAAAAAAAACTATATTTTGGGTTGCTCTGGACATTGATGGAGATGGACATATTCGTTATTGGATCAATAGGTATATAGATATTGTAACTAAAATATATAAATATTACTATATTAACCATGCCTAGTCGTAAGCTAGTATTAAAATTTGTTTTCAAACCAATTTAGAATATTTTTTTACACTATATTTCATTTAAACTACCATATTTTGCGGTAACAATAAAGATTAAAATCTATCTAACCTGTTTAGAGATTATTTATGGTATACGTAGCTCCCGATATATGAATGTAGATTATTTTTACCTGTTTTTTTTTTTTATATCGAACCCACACTGTATAAAGTAGTCATGTCTCTAGATAATAAAAGCAACGTAACATTGACTGGTTGGCTCTGAATAGGGGGTTTATTGCTCGCTGACGTGTAAGTGGCCATTGAGGCATACATAACATGAGGATTTCATATATCGATAAAAGTAATTTATTTATATACTTTACTGCACATGTTAAACCCAAACATATACTTACTATAATATGTATATCTTTACTAATAAACGTAATACTTATAAATGTGAACGTGTATTTGTTTGTTACTTCTTGACGCCTTAACGGCTTAACCAATCACTGTGTAATTTACTATTTACGTACTATTATGTGATTTAGAAAGATACAAACTACTTTTTATATTGGATTATGTATATATTTAAATTAAGTGAGGGACTGGCTGAAACCAGCGCTGTGCAGCTGTATACATTGCACTGGGACACTCACAGCATCAGCTGAGCCAGTTCCTTTTGCCTAATATTAGACACATCTTATGTATGTATTTTCTGTTGTAATTGTGTTTTTCTGGCAATAAATATTTTCTATTCTATTCTATTCCATTCTATTCTATTCCATTCTATACCATTATATTCCATACCATTTTATTCCATTCTATTCCATTCTATTCCATTCTATTCTATTCTATTCTATATATTTCAATCAGGCGATAAAAGCTTTATAAAGTTGGGCAAATGCCTAACCAGATTTTACTCGCGACATTGTCCATATGCCTGAAATATGTTCATAGACCGGGATAAAAAGTAGCTTAGGTCCATCCCATATAGTACGTGTATACCAAATTTGATAATGATCGGTCAAGTCGTTAAGGTGCTATAAGGTTATAAATGATTTTTTCATTTATTATTTTTTAAAATATTTTGGTAAGGATGTTAAAGTGAATTTGTTTGTTCCATTGTTACCTCTTGACGTTTAATTGGCGTACAATAAAGTAAAAATATAATAAAAAAGAATTTTCTAAATCGGTTTATAACTGATGGAGTTATAAGGTAATAATATATATATATAATATATATATATATATATATATATATATATATATATATATATATATATATATATATATATATATATATATATATGATTAGGGATAATATTTATATTATTATATGTATTACATCTCCCATATCTAGAACGTGGAAGAGATCGCTAGCGATAATAGCCCATTGTTTTCTCATTGTGATTATTTCTTGTAATTATTTATATTTATAATAAGTTTACTATTGTAATCTTTTGGAGGAAACAATAAAGAGTACCTATCTATCTGTCTAATTAAAAACCTCCACCCTATTAAAGTCAGTTGAAAACAAGAAAAATAATGACAGGAATTCACTGAAGCATCTGTTTTTTTTTTCTTGCGGAACAAAATCAACTCACATTACTACTTAATTTCATTTAAATGCAACTATTGCAACAATTTATCTACCAATAATATATCGTACGAAATTCAACGGGTAACCACAAACTGGGACGTATTTATAATGCATGCATAGTTCACCTCATACATTATGAAATAGTCATTTCTATCTAGCAGTAACCGGTTTAGTCCAGTACCATTTAAATATTAAAGCTCAGAATAGTTTTCAGAAACTGAAAGATAACAGGTGTTTTTCAGTTTTTCCTGTATATATTCACGATAGGTTCTTTGAGAGGTAGGCAGAGGAAATTGAGTGCCGAAGGCCGGGTATTTATGTTTTTGCAGTAGGTGTGATTGCGTTTATCTAAGAAATATGAACATTAGTCATTGAAAATAGCATATATATGTAGTAATATAATATTAGTTGTAGCATAAGGTTTAAAAAAATATTCCATTTTGTTCATGGAGAAAAATGCCAATGAAACGTTCATGAAAAGTGTATCTTCTTAAATAGTCGGCAACACACCTTCAAATTCTCTAATGTTGCGGGTGTAATCACCTACGATGGTAAGTGACTGATTACCGCATGAGTAAAAATATAATAAAAAAGAATTTTCCAAATCGGTTTAATAAAAATAAAATCTAATTAAAATTATTATATATATATATATATATATATATATATATATATATATATATATAGGAAATCAGATTAAAATACATTTTTAAACAAAGATTTTTTTTCACAATTGTACGATTGTAACAATGGCTAAAATTGGTATCACAACGAATTAGGTCACAAATCCCTAAATCCGATTCAGTAAATTATCCCAACTTCAAAACTTTGCGACGAAACCACAAAGGGGGACGAAGCACCTAAATATTTCGAAGCACAATGGGATTAATGTTTTGTAAGACAAGAATTTATAAAGTACAATATAATATAATAGAATGCAATGGTATATAAATGGTATAAAATTCAGGGTGTACTTTCATGTTTTCGTATCATTATACTAAAGGAATTTTGTGTAAAACTATGCGTAGGTGGCGCCACTGGACTATGGCGTAAACAAAACTACGCAGAAGTGGTCGTTTAATAAAATTTGAAAATGGAAAATTAATTATGTTACATGCAAGTTTTAGATTCCATAATAAGTGAACTCTAAAGTTCGTAGTCACATTCAAATGTGAGTTTAACATAGATATTTTTAAGTATATTATACTAGTCATATCCTGCGGCTCCACTCGCATAAATTGTTTCATAATGTGTATATTATATGTTAAATTAAGATATAACTTACTTGTGTACCAAATTTCATACAAATCCGTTTAGTAGTTTTTGCGTGAAATAGTAATAAATATTTATCCATCCATGTAACGTTATAAACTGTCGCATTTATTATATTAATATTAATATATATTATTATATAAGTGAAATTAAATATCTTTTAAAGTTATGTTCTGTTAGGATAATTAAACGTTTTTATTAAAACATGATTACCATGAGGTGATAAACAAAAAAAAACACCAACTGTTAAGTCAGTATAGGAATATCAAATTTTTGGTCCTTTATGAATTTTTCATCTACGTATTCACTTAATTTCTGTCCCAATATGAATATATTCTAAAGTATAAGTGAATTTTTATTTTTAATTACTACTAATTACTTAGATTTGACCCTGTAGAATAGTAATTTCCCTTCTTTTCCCGTGGATCTTGTAAGAGGCGACTACGGGAACTTAACGGTTAAGGGATGAGCAGCAGCGTCCGTTTTAAAACATCACCTAAAACCAACTACGGTTGCCACGCTTGATAGGCAGATTGGTAACCGTTTACCAACCTGCCTATCAAGCGTGGCAACTACCAACCCCCTCCCCCCCCAAAATAAACTGCCATAAGAAAAGATCCCGTTTCTTGAATGAAGTTCTTTGAGTCTATAGGTGAAGCCTATGTTCAGCAGTGGACAGACAACGGCTGGTATGATAACAGTGGCAATTAGTACTCTTGACTATTGCTTACTATTCCAACTTATACCTAAATCTCAAAATATGTGAGTTCAAATTTGATTAATATTAAAACCTACGTATCATTTTTAATTCGAAATTTGCCATACGAATGTCATAGGCTACTTTTTTAGCCTGGTTAAT